TATGTAATGAAGACAATTCGTTATGTAATGAGACCTTGCTAGAATTTAAATTAATAAACACTTTGCATGGTGTAAATACTTATATGATTTCACAACGTAACATGTGTCATTGAACCATTAAAATGAAATAACTAAATGATAATATAAACAATATATTCAAAGCATTTATTTGCAGCAAAAAAAGATTGAAAACTGTAGCAAGGAAAACAATTCTCACAAAATATAGTACGATCAAATTTGTGGAATAAGACAAAAAGATGAGCTCAAAATCTTTATCATCATCTTTATTCAAAGTCATTGGTCAAAGTCAGAAAAGGGGCTATATACATTCTACTGAGAACATTTTCTATTCTCATCATTATTAACATTATCAAAACTTTAGTTTTTTTTTAATTTATTCATAGAAAAGATTTTTCTATTTATGTATCTGTATTTTAAAAAAATGGTTGTTCGTTTGTCCTTCAAATTTAAACCAAGATTGACCCAATTTTCATGGTCATAGCATGTGCTTCGTATCTCCATTATGTTGTGTTTCTTGGTCAATAGACAGAAAGTATAAAATTTACATATATTGAGTTAGGTTATAAAGACAATTCGTTATGCAATGTGACCACGCTATGATTCAAACTTATAAACAAAAAAGAAGGTTTAATATAATATTTTTTTGATTTCACAACAAAACATAATATGTCATTAAACTATTAAAATGAAATAAGTACAAAGGAGCCTCATTTATCTGGACGCTTTGGTCCTCAGTCAATTTGTCCGGATATGTGAAGCCTCCGGATATCTGAATTGCCAGTTTAAATAATTATGACAAAATAACGTTAAAAAATTCTGTTCCCATGAATAATCGTCCGGAAACTGAAGCGTCCGGATATCTGAAGGTCCACTGTAAATGATAATATATTAAACAATATAATATTAAAAACATTTATGTGCAGTAAAAAAAGATTTACAGTTGGTAAACTCAGAATTTATGAAATTCGTAAAAAGGAAAATAACTCTTACAAAATACAAATGATCAAATTCGTGGATAAGGCAGACAGAAAGATGAGCTCAAAAGTCTTAATCATTTTTGTCATCAAAGTCATTGGTCAAAGTTGGAAAATTAAAGGGACTTTCAACATTCTACTGATAACGCTTCCTATTCTCATCATAAGGAGCATTTTCAAGACTTTATAAGTATTTTCTATTAATGTGCCTGTAACAAAAAAGGTTGTTTCGTTTGCCCTTTAAAGTTGAACCAACCCAAACCAAGTGATTTTCATAGTCATAGCAAATGCTTCGTGGCTCCAATATGCTGTGTCTCTTGGTCAACAGATATCGCAGAAAGCGTCCGTCTTTATCAATCATGTGAACGCTATTGGTATTGTAATCACAAACAAGTATGTTCATTAAAGCGTCCGTACAAATACCATTTGGTGATAATCTTCGTACCGATGGAGGACCTTTGTACGAGAAACGATATTTTCCTTCTCCGCTCACCACCACAACCCCATACCAAAAATCGGATACAATGACGTCACCGTTCTTATTTTCTGTTAGGTACAATGCCTTTTTATAAAGCGACTCGCCGTTTTCGTGATACTGAAATTCCTTAATAAGTGTTCCTGATTGATCAAACTGGGAAACTTTCGAAGCATCTGTATCTCTTCTCCACATCCCTATCAACAAACTTCCATTTAAGAAGGAACAAAAGATACTCACCCATTCTCAATATAAGGGCACAAATGCCTGTCTGATTTTTTAAAAAATGAAGTTCAAGATAACAATTTTTTTATCAATTACCTTTGAAAGAAAGTATCTGAAGATTTTGTTTCCAGATTTTTTTTCATCAAATTATAATACATGGAATAATGACAGGACGATAAAGTAGAGGGTGATTTTATTCAGAAATGTAGCTTGAAATGTACGTTACTCTTTCTTCAATGTCCAAAAAGATATGTAAAAAATAATGTAGTCATTAAAATCACAATTGGAATATCTCATCTTAACACCAACACATCCTACCAACTCTGTCAGCAACATATTTTCTCGGCATACGAACGTGTGTTTGATTTTTCCTTTCAAAAAACAAAGGTTACTTTTTGATCCAGATGTATAAAAACATTTTTTAAATATATGGTTTAAATTCTTCTCTCTGTTTTTGTTTAGAGCGATCAGTTTGGAATCTTGTCATTTTCTATAGATACTGGAACCTAACATGTACATGTAGTAAAATTCTATTTTGTAGTAACTGTCTTTTTTAACATATATCCATGCCGATTTAGAAAACTACATAAATGTAACGTACATTTCAAGATATATTTCTGTTTAATAAAAAGCTTAAAATTCGTCTAAAAATTCATCGTTTTGTTTCCGTTTATTCCAGAAAAGATTCTCTATGTAATCACATTGTGTTATATGTCACAATCACCACTATAAAGACACGATTGCCTCGGAATATAAGTAGGTAACGTACATTTCAAGCTTGTAATAATATGTAAATTAGTAATAAGAAAATATTGAAAAAAAAGCACTTATTGGCATAAAAATCATTTCAATTAAGCGTTTTAAGGCAGTAATATAAGAAATCATAATGTAACAAACGAGGTTATTTGTCATCAACTACATGAATGTCACGTCACTTCGGTAACGTTCATTTCACATATTCTTGGGGAGTCCCCTCCACCTCAGTTCATTACCATTTTTGTGTGCTGTTTCGCTGAAATTGACACCCGTCGTAGCCTAGTTACATCTACCTTTGTGCAAGGGTACAGACAAAAAAAAAATATAAGAGTCAGACGTATTTTGCTATGATCTAACAAATGCTCGTGTTTGGCCATTGAAACTTAATATAAATCTACTCCGAATATATCCATCGACAGTTTGTTAACAATTTCATTTAGTATGTTGCAACATCGTTTTTCAAAACACAAACATACGTGCTTTTAAGCAGATCTGGAAAAATATAACCCAAAATGCAATGATTCAAACAAAACTGAGTATTGTGTGCCTTTCAGTATTTGAATTGTACGTGACCGTCTTGTGTTCTGGGTTTATTTGTTTTGTTTCTTTTTCTTTTTCTTTTTCTTTTTTTTTTACCAATTATAAGCCTATGCATATCTTGTTTTAAATTATCAACAACAATTAAATTAATATTGACGAAAAGTCGCATATTAAAAGTAAACAAACTGCAAAAAGGTTACCAAAGATGAATTTAAGACACTTAGAAATAAATTTTCTAGCATGTGGTAACAGTCTAAAACATTTACGAGGATTGGGGTGCATTTAGATGGATTTATGTGGCCAGTTGTCAAATGGATTGTTACGATAATTTTGTTTCGCTCGTGTAAACGCAATTCATTGACTAAATAAAAAATATTGTCAGTTAGAAATACGTAAAATGTACGTTACCATACGTAACGTACATTTCAAATATAAAAATCAATTCTCTTCCACAAGCGTACGTTAGACACGCAATATATTGATACTACTTGAGCATGCACATCATTAGAATTGCATCATACAGGTTTCGTATTCAGAAATATATATCAGGTATCAAAAATATGTTACATATAATTGACCTTAATATACTTTTTTTCCTCAGCAGAAACGTTTCTTTTCATTAATTTTGAGATTTAGCCGACCTCCAACCTTTGAAACTTTCCTTTGTGTACATATTAGAGTGTGTGAAAGTATGAGAATACATGAAAATTCGTGCGAGATTCACTTAATTCGAATTTCATTGTAACGTACATTTCAGTCACGTACATTTCAAATGATCACTTTTCATGTAAAAAATAATTTTAAATTGTGTTAAGCAAAACGTCTTTGCCAGTTTACAGGATACAAGGTGTTGCTTATTCAGAGTCGTCTCATATTTTCTACTTAATATACATTCTTAATGGAAGAATATAGGTAACGTACATTTCTTTCTTATCTCTACGATTGAAAATGTCTTTCATTCCGTAAACATATTTATAAAAGTTGCTCAAATTGTTCAATTTCATGTTACATTATCTAAGTAGGAGTAATTAATCCTTTGAAATTTCAAATTTAGCCCCTCAATAAATAAAGGAGAACAAAACTATCAGGTGTATAATCTTTGTGTTTGTTTGTAATGTGGTTGAAATAGAATTAAGCGACAGGGACATTGTACAATAAACATTATTGATTATCAGAAAGAAAATGTATTTATTGTTATGAAAAGAAATATATATGATACAAGGTTTCACTTATCAGAAAATTTTTACTTGAGAATCAAAACTATATATTACACAGAGGGGATTCAGAATAATATTTGCCTCGGCGACAGTAACGTACATTTCAAATAGGCTACTATATTTGAATTTGAAACTCCTTAAATACCCTTTCAGATCGATAATTGTATGAATTCTTATTCATTGTTATATGACTATTTATAATGTTGATTTAAAAATTACATATGTGGTATTTCTTTTAAATGAAAATGAGGCGACATTATTTGAGCCCTTATATTGAGAATGGGTGACTACGAGGTATCCACGGCTTCGACTTCTTTATCAAAACTCGCGGTATTGTTTTCTCCTTTTCCAGTTCGCAAATATTATGCTCTAGGTCTATAAAAATCAAATCCCCTGTCGTAGTTATCGAATGGACACACGGAAACTCAGCGCCTGTTAAAATTCTTTTTTGTCGAAATAGCGTTTTCCCGTCTTTGCGAACAAGCAGAAGTTTTTTGTGATTATTGATCCAAAAACTGTCTGAGGAGGCATTGGAAATATGTGAACTTTTTCTTATATCACCCACCTCTATAGATTGTTTCAATGTCACATCAGGCAACGCTTCGAAAAGAAACTCCACTTTAATTTCTAGTTTTCCACTTTTTATATCTTCTATTTCTCCTAACATATTAATAATATTTTGCCTGTTTAAAGCATACAGAGAAAAGCTAGAAAAAGAACAATGAAAAACTTGAGATGTTTTTAAAAACGACAGACATTGAATAGGCCTATTTGCATATATTTCAAACTTATTAATTGACCTTTCTAAAACAACAGTTTGTTTCTCCAACTTATTAAGGCTTGCTGCAATATAATTCTTAAATCCAAATATCAAACTCTGTTCATGTACAAACTCCAGGGCAGTTTGTAGAGACTTGGCTCTTTCCGTCATCTTCATCTCAGTTTTCAGTTGATATCTTGCCATGTCTGAGTGTAGTACATTGTTCTTTATTTGTGCTAGCAAAGCTATATTAAAAGGTAGAATTTCGCTTCGAATCTTGGAAATCTTTTCTCGATTCAGGATAATACGTCGCTCATATGCTCTTATAAGTGGATTCGTTCCATGCCCTCTATGCCCAATGCATTGTCTACACAAAGGACATTTACATCTCCGACACCAGTATTCATAAACATTTCTCGGATGTGTTTCACAGGTTTCCTCACATGTTGTATTTCCATATTTAACATCCACAGTAACTATATTGTGAAAATAAGAGTCAAGATCTATTAAATGTTTTTCTTTGCAGAGCAAACAGAAGTTCTTTCTACAATCTTTGCAGTAGTATTCTGCATCTTCTGTGCACATGAAGCAGTGCCTGGTCTGAGGAGAAAATAGTCCTTCCATGATAATTTTAAAGCTATTACCTTTTGACGTATATCATGATGTCAGTTTTTTGTATATTGTTATTTTCTGTAAAATTTAAAAATAGATAATATTTAATCTTATTGATTCAAAAATCATATTCGTATATCTTTAAATCAATTATCTGCATCGGAGTAAAGTAAAAAAGATATGGGAAAAGTTTGGAAAATGTAGCGTAATTTATGTTTCAATGTTAAGCTTCTTATGCAAAGACTTTTTTATTTTTGTTACAATTGCTACCTTTTGAGAAGATTGTCAATGGTTTAACTATTAATAATATTATGTTTAATTCCATATACAGGTATTGAATCTCAACTTGAAATTGGTTACTTTCTCTCCCATCCCCGTTTACAAAAATGAATCTTGTAGATGAATTGGTCAAATAAAGCTATTACTATTTGTAAATACATTGAAAATGTAAAAACCAAAAAAAGTTATCCTGGGTATCTGAAATTTTCCTCTAATTTCCAAGGATTTGATAACAGTTATCAATTTCTGTACATTACAAATAAAGCAAAAGGGATCTAGCAACATGAAGATTCTGCCTCCTTATTACTAGCTTACAAGCAATGGTTCCTCACAAAATATACACATGTACATCTTATTCAATTTTTTCTAATGTCTATTTACATATTCAATGAAATGATCGAAACAAACAATTCGTAAAATCAATGCTTTGTAAAGAAAAGATTGAAGAGCCATTCTCTGTAATGATTTGAAATTTTATATAGGAGCTGTGGCACGCATAGTCTCAGAATTTCTCCAAACTCTCTATGATAAAAGTCATTGATACCCTAAACTGAAACCAGGCAAAAAATGGTTGCTATGCTTTATAGTTACCATGGCACCATGTCTTAAAGTTCGAAAAATGGCATTTATTAACATGTTTAGAGCCCCATAGTTAACATTTGCGGCAAAGCAAACAATTGGCAATGACTGTTTCCAAAATTTGAAGGTCAGATGTCTCAAATGCATGATAAACATGTTTGGTAAATCAACTATCTACGTAACTATGGTAACAAAGTATTCAAAAGTAAAAAAAAATCATTGAATTTCATAAAGTCATACAAAAATAAAAAGCAATTATAGGATGAAATGTGACCAAATAATAGAAAAAAGAGCCTTGAAACATATACCAAGAACAAAATATGATATTTCATTTTGGTTGGCAATGGTTGCTAAGGTTTTTATACCACAGAGAGCCTTCAAAGTAACACTCTGTATTTTTTAATGTGATCCTATCTTTTAAAAAAACACATTTCCTCATAACTAATGATCAATTTTTAAAGATGTTGGTGTGCTCCTAGTTTTCCCATTTGAAAAAAATCAGATTAGATTCTTTAAATAGAGCGTTGCTATGGAAATAAGCAGAAAATATATGCTTAAAAAACCTGAAAAATATTTTCTTTCCTTAGATACGTACCCTTAAATGTAGATTCCCAAAACTTTTATGACTGATATTTATTAACAGCTAACCTGACTTTTTATTTTGACTATCATCCAATCTGCAAGTGGATGCAAGAAGTTGGCACACAGGGTTTAATATTGATATAAAGTTTACAAAATCGAACATTTTCCCTTCTTGGTAACCATAACAAGAGTGTTGTTTTCTTCATCAAATTTTATCAATACATGATATTCAACTTCAGTTCTAACAGATAAGACCGCGGAACATTAACTGGCAAAATTGGAAATATACAGCTTACGTCATTTCTATCTGTTACAATCAAAACATTCAGTGATAGACAGCGTAATGGGCGGGTACAATTCGACGCGGACGTTTGGAAAACATCGGATTGAAATTGCAGATCGAAATTCATTTTCAATCCACCTCAGCTACGCTACAATTTGACGAGGACGCGTGGAAAACATCGGATTGAAATTGCAGATCGAAATTCATTTTCAATCCATCTGAACTGTTTTCAAAGCTAAGAGTGAATATATGATTCAAAAATCAACTAATTTCAACTCCCGAATACATATTGTTTGAAGTTCACATTAATACGAGTTTTAGCTTATAACGCGAAAGATCATAGAAGACAAAGATTATTTTTCAGGAGATATTTGATTCTAGATGGGGGGGGGGGGGTAAAAAATTGTCGAGTCAGGTCATGACTTACATGACAACAGATTTTATTTCTAGGATTATAAGAGTGCATGAGTTTTATACTTATTCTCACTGAAAAATGTTGGACAACTTTATTTGAAATTGTTAAGCCCCCCTCCCCTAACACAAACAAATATTTACCACACAGAAATGAAATATTTGTCCCTTAATATTTTTTTAAAACACTGGACAAAAAAATTCAAACTGTACCAAAATTGAAATTATACTGTCTTTTGGGTCAATCAGTAATGTGCCTTCTAGCTAGCTGAGGTGGATTGAAAATGAATTTCGATCTGCAATTTCAATCCGATGTTTTCCAAACGTCCGCGTCGAATTGTACCCGCCCATTACGCTGTCTGTCACTGAATGTTTTGATTGTAACAGATAGAAATGACGTTAGCTGTATATTTCCAATTTTGCCAGTTAATGTTCCGCGGTCTTAAGTACTATTCAAGCTGAGTCCTTTAATTTGTTTCTTGATTATATGACAATTTAATACTTGATGCAGCGAAAAATATTTCACTTTTAAGCTCTGGTACTTTGTTTCCATGTTAACACTGCAAAGTAGCAATTAAACTCAATTTTTCTCATGGTTTTAGTGATGCAGGTCCTAAGGATGCGTATTTGCCAGTCTTGAATTTCCCTGTTTTTCCTTAAGACAGTAGCATTAACCCAGTCTTAGTTACTGGTTTTGCATGGTTACACTGTGTTACCATAGCAACCATAAAAGTTATTTATGGAATGATATTGCTTATACTTATGTACTAAAGGTCAAACATTTTCATTGTTTTTCTTAAGTCGTTGATTGAGTTTGAGCATGTAACACCTACCATTAATGAATACGGAGTGTTTTTCAGCATATTTCAGCATTTTAAATGTATTCCAAATGTACCCTTGGTTACCACTAACTTAGAGATATATTCTAAACAGTTTCTTTACAGTATAAGTGACATGAAGGTATCATGTTTTGTGAGAATGGTTTGTTTGCTTTTTCTACTTTTTATTAAGCCACAGTCAATATTTAAAGTGGCTGAAAATCTCGATTTTTCAAATTTTTCCGGCTGTAGCCATTGCAACCGAGACACTTAGAAACGAAATATTGATTGATATCTGTTTCTGGCGTCAAGTACTAAGCATAGGTGAAGTTTCATCAAATTCGGTGACCATGCGTGGCAACGAAGTTCAAGTGGTTACAGAGAATGGCTATTAAATAGCATTGAATTTCCTTTTCAGATTTTCCATTTTGTTTCTGATTGCCCATAATCCTTTGAAAATGAAAGTTATTTACAATGATATATTATTCCAATATTTTTCTATCTACTGTGGAATCATTTTAATTCATGGGGGTCAATGTTCCTTGGTAAGCAAAACTTGATCCGTTCGTGGGGACGAAATTTCGTGGGTAACTCGTAAATACGAAGGTTCAATGAATCAATATGTTAACAAAATAAACATTCGTGGGGATGTAAATTCGTGGGTAAGGATGACTCACGAAATCCACGAACATTGGTCTCCCATGAACTATGATTATTCTACAGTAGTCATCTACAAGAAATGATCCTATTTGAAAAAAAAAAAATAAAAAATAAAACTCTTCTAACAAATCGAAGATCAAAGCCCTGAAAAATAATAACGGATGGAAAACCACGTTTTTCTTTATTTTTATATTTTATCACTCACCATTACTTTATCCCACGGGTTTAGCACAAAATGTAATATCAATCTTATATGAATAATGCAGCTGAATAAACCTTTAAATAGTGATATATTTGGTTTTGTTTAAGAAATCGGTGACGGGTCAAAATGCACAAAAGTTCAAAATTTGAAAAGTGTGAAAAAAAATGTTGTAAGGCAGCTTTAAATCTCATAAAATTTACGAACATTTTTTCTTAATTCAAAAGTATTAAAAATAGGGAAGGAATGTCACATTTATCAAAAAATTTCTTGTATTTTTAACATAAACATATGCCTTACCTTATCCAAACCCTGCACGGAAATGTTTATGTACATAAAACAGAACTTTAATACTCTTTTAAAATGAAATGTACATACAAATATATATCATTGACACGCAACCTTTCTTCTTGGTTCAGTGCAATTCGTATCTGTGGACTCCCATGCAAGCCATATATGAAAGAGATTTAAAATGACAATTAATTCTAGTGATTTAATTGAAAGAAAATTGGCATTTTGATTTTAGAAAAAATCTCAATTGAATTTTCAATGGCACATGCAGGATATTAGATTTCAAACTTTCACAATCTTGATGAACATGAATACTACCTGTTTGCTCGTAGTTTGTAAAATTGAATGGAACTGCTGTGGTGTAAATAAATCATTTTCCTTTTCAACAAGACATGTCCAAACTTTGTTGTTGAAGCTTTAAAAAAAAGGAAATTAGGCCATCTTTGAAATACCGTTTGCTTGTCTTCTCCAGACTCAGGGTAAAATTAGAGTCGGTAGGAAGGTGGAAAAATCTTATTTCCAGACAATTTTGACAAAATGTTAAACGGGATAAGAGGAAGAAAAAGAAAACAAATACATCGTGTCCTAAAATGTAAAATAAGAACATATTTAGTCAGTAGGTCGGGAGAGGGCAACCAAACTATATTTTAAAAGATGACCTTGCTCACGAAAACAAAAGATGCATCAAAGACAAAGACTGAATTGACAGACAGTATTCCAAGCGTATTCCAAGCAAATGAAATTATAAATGAATTTATGTACTGGGACATAGAAACTAAAAACAAATACTTTGTTGTTAATAATCGCATTCAGACTTGGCTGTAAGGATAGAAAAAAAATGTTTACTTTAATAAATACAGTGTACATTCTTTCAACATCTGACCGGTTAAGACAAGTGTGAATGGAAAAACTGCACAAAAATGTAGCTGCTTTGTGTTGAACGAGTCTTGTGTCTTGCATTTCCATTTACTAACACATTATCTATTATAGTAGCTAGACTATAGCTGGAAGTAATCGAAGTTTACCATAGTATTTTTGTTGTTTATAAGTCAACTTATACTGGTGGTATTTGCATCTGTCATATATTTGAACCTTTGAATAGTTAACGAAGCAAAATGTGATCTTTTTTGCGAATCTCTCTCTCTTTCTCTCTCTCTCTCTCATTTACACGATTCTGTGATATTGTTCCACAAAGATTTTACAAGACTTCAAGAGTAAAAATTCTCTCTGATAAAGTGTTTATTCAAATGTTTATTTGAAAAGTAAGAGCAGTATAAAAACCAGAAGTCTCTCTCGAGGAAGAGAAAAGTAGCAGTTTGGACTTGAAACTTTATTAAAACAGCAATAAATAGAATAACGATAATTGCTTAGGTCACTTTTTGTGGCAATATTGCAATATTACAACTTTTGGTGTAGCTTTTAATGAAATTTTAAGGAATTTTCAATTTTAGCTACCATAGCAACATCATTCATCAAAATAATTTTAAAAACAATAAAGACAAAAATGTATCTTATTGTAGTTTATCTGAACATGCTGAATGCCACATTATATCATAATCAAACTAAAACTGTATTTGTGATAGCATTTTAAAATTACTTTATGGAAATTCCTATTTTTAGTAACCACGGCAACACCATTCATCGAAATTAAATACCGATGCAAAGAAATATGTATCTTAGTATAGCCTACTTGTGTGCCAAGTTATATTGAAATCAGACCAAAACTGTAGGAGGAGTAAATAGCCTTTTGAAAGCATTTCACAGAAATTTTTATTTTACATGTTTTAGGAACCATGAAAACAACATTCATCGAAATCAAAAACCGATGCTCAGAATTGTGTATCTTAGTATAGTCTACTTGTGTGCCAAGTAATATTGAAATCAGACTAAAACTGTACGAGGAATAGCGTTTTGAAAACATTTCACAGAAATGAATGGAGGATAATGCAGAATTCAACGTTACAAAGTCTTAAATCCCATGTGCCTAAACCTTTCTGCATTTTGTGTGCTAAAGCGCTCCAATAAAATAAATTAAGTGAAAAAAGTGTTCAGCTACTTTTTTTTATCCTGTATGCGTATTGCATTACTGTCAAACTAATTCAATATACGTAAAAGCGGCTCGAGTAAAGCAAAAACCTGCCTGGGGACTTAAAAATTTTGATTAGTATAGATTCTTGCGGTTTATGTATCGGTAAATAGAAAGCTTGGTATTTTTGTCTTGTGATCCAACCCAAAGCAAGTGGTTTTTATTATCATAGAAGAGACTTCGGGGTTCGTTCATATCATTCCTATTGGTCAGTAGAAATCGTAAAAAGTTTCCATCCTTATCAATCATTTGAACACAGTTGGTATTGTAATCGCAAATTAGTACGTGCATTAAAACATCCGTGCAAACCCCATGTGGTGATAATCTTTGTCCAGATGGAGGACTTTTGTACGAAAAACGGTATTTCCCCTCTCCATTTACCACCACAACGCCATTCCACAAATCAGATACAATGACGTCACCATTCTGATTTTCTGTTATGTATAAGGCTCTTTTATAAAGAGGTTTACCCTGTTCATTATATCGGACATTCTGTTTTGGTCTTCCTGACCTGTCAAACCTTGCAACCATTGATGCATCATTTTTTCGACTCCACATACCAATCAACAAATCGTCATTTAAATTGGAGCAATAGAGGCTACAAGGTTTCCAGGGGTGAGTTCTCGCAATCAAAATTCTTGTCACGTGCAATTTTTTCTCTCTTTCCACTTTCTTAACGTTGTGTCTTTTGTCTATATAAATCAATTCCCCTGTTCTGGTTACTGAATGGACACACGGAAAATCAGCATCAATTAAAACGTCTTTTTCACGATACAGTACTCTATCGTTTTTGAGTACTAGGAGAAGTTTTCTATGGTTACTGGTCCAGAATCTCTCTGGTGTTACGCAGGAAATGTGTAAACTCTTCCATATTCCATCCACTTCAACTGTTTCGTTCAATACAACGTCTGAAAAAACTTCAAAGAGACATTCATTCCCAATGCATTTCTTTCCAGTGTTAATTACCTCTACTTCTCCGAACATTTGGATTACGTTGTCCCTATCTAGAGCTGAAAGATTTATGCTAGGCTTTACGTAAGCATCAGGAAAGTTTTCAGAAGCAGGTATTGGACATTTCTTGAAATACGAAAGCCATGTTACTGGCTTACTTGCATATGTCTCCAAGTGATCAACTGACTTTTGTGTTGAAATGACAAACCTCTCCAGATGTCTTACCCTCTCAACAATATTTTCGAAACTCGATAAGTCTAAATTTTGTACAAAATTCAATGTGCTTTTCACGGTTTCTGCTCTTTCTGTCATCTTTGAAAAGTGTCTTGTGGTTTCCAATTGACATTCTTTTACGTTGGAGGATAAATTATTCCTCATTTGATCAAGTAAGGCAATATTATACGGCAAGGTTATGCTTCGAATATGGGCAATATTTTTTCGGCTTTTAGATTTGCTTTGCTCATAGGCACTTTGAATTTCAACTGTAGAGTGATTTTTGTGCCCTTTGCAATATATACAAAAGAGGCGTTTACATCTCCGGCACCAACGATTATAGACAGAATATGGGTGTCTTTCACACGTTATGTAACACATCCTTAATGTTTCATATTTCATCTCAATTGTAATTAAGTCATGGGTATGAAAGTCAAGGTCTATGAAATGTTTTTCTTTACACTGCAAACAAAAATCTGTCTCACATTCTCTGCAGTAGTATTCTGCATTTTCAGTACATTGAAAACAGTCGCTATCCCCAGAACTAGATTCTTCTTTCATCATGGTAATGTTTTATTCACCTTTTTCTGGTGAACATATAGTTCCCTGCTGTCAATGTGCTTTGAAATATGTGTCTCTCTCTATATCTGTTTAAAAATAAGCATAAATTACATTTAACAAGTAACAGTTTAAAAGATTTCCGTTTTGAGTTGCATTGTCCATTCAAGTGAAGGATTTTAAAACCCTGGTTTGTATTCTAACATAAAAAGTTTAAACATTCTAGTAAGTTGATCATTTTACAGGTCAATGTGAAATAATTCAACTGATTTTTTGCTTAAGTAATGACTACCAAATGATACCACTATAACATTGTATAGATACTTTTTGTAATCAATTTAAATAAATTATTTTCTTTAACATAGAAATACAACCAATACGTTTCTACAGACCTAAAAACTATTTAAAATTTTTGTGTATATGCATATATAATAAAGGGGAAAATAAGTATTATAAACGAATAGATATTATATTTCAAGTTAAAGTATCTATGCATGTTACTACACGTATGTAACGTACAAATAAAATATTCATCAGAATATCAAATGACATGCCATTGTGCAAGATTGCAATCCAAAGATTTAAAACAGAGTTTAAATTTTCAGTATTCAAAAATTCTTTTTAAAATTTATCCGAAAATGTGTCACAAGAATTCAAATGATTTCCGAAGGATAAACAATACCCATATGTATATTACATATCATATATACCATAGCTAAAACATATAAATTTACCCGGCATTTATCCAAGTTTTCCCTCTTTCCTTTACAACTGTACACTGTAAACTAAAGGAATGTACATTGTTCAGTTCTGGTATTGATTTTCACCTAATACAATGTAATCAGTAGAAAAGGCAATTCGTCCACAGTGGCTCGTCAAGACGTAATGTTTTCTTTAGATTTGACCACCCCTTCATTATTAAAAAAGACGTATTTTAATGTATAATATACATGTACTTGTGGTCAATTGAAAGAAAACAAATAAGTCATGACGTGCCACAGTTGTATACTTGTAATGTACTTATACTTAAAAATTAAATGTAACTTGCACTACTTTGTTAATTTACTTCAAGAAATGCATTTTTTTTTTAATTTTGAGAGCCGCTTACCTCGATGAAATAAACGGATGTTACACTGTACATGCTGTACATAGTATATGATCCATGATATATTTTGATTAAAAAATATCAAAAAACTATGGATCATTTTTGTACAAATCTGTTTTCCATAATGATCAACAATGAATCGTAGGCACCTGCCGTTACTTTTTTTTCTTTTAATGAAAAAAAATATATATACCCCTACCGTGTATTATTAGGTAAAGGATGCATGTATACAGTATTTTTTTTAATTAAAATTAAGAAAATTAAGTAAGTTGTCAGGTGCCTGTGCAGTGAATAATATTACATCTAACTTAGAGCATTGGAACCAACATCAACATCAGTAAAAACGGCATGTTTTTTTATTTAACCGCTACATGTCTGTCCCATTATTTTTTTTATGGAACCATTAATTAGACCTGTTTTGCTAAGTTATATAATATAAAGTTCAAAATGCAGCTTCCAACACAATTGTGTTTAAATCATATTTGTGTTTCCATTTTCCTATTATAAACATGTAAACATTTTCATTTTCTTTATGCGTCATAATAATAATTATGCAATCTAGCTACAACGGGAAACTCAGAATTTTTTGCATGTTGTGGATGGGGTGGGGGTTATCGACGAAAAAAAATAAATACCTACCGTGAAATGACCTAATGTGAAATGGTGGGAGAGAGAAATAACCTGGGAGAGAAAAATTTTGAGAGAGAAATGACTTGACACAGTATCTATTATTATTTATTTATTTTATTATTATTTTTTTTTTGTTATATATCTATCGATAAAATATATATTGATCGCATGTTTATAGCATTATACAAATAGGAATATTTATATTTTTTTAAAGCATAATGTCTCCTCTATTTCCCAAAGCAGAGTCCGAGACTCCGACTCTGCCTTTGTAAATTATAGATTTTTTTTTTTCATCTGGGGTACTAGAATTTACTGAAAATATATCGGGCTCGACATCAGGAGACGTCACGTGACTAGCAACGGTTTACAAATGGCGGTCGAAGTTGGCGCTTCTGATTAATCTGCACAGTTCCTTATCTCTAATAGTTGGAAAATGGATAGAGGTACCTTTTATCGTATAGCAAAATCAAATGAAGTTTTATGATGTCATTCTTCTTAAGGCTTGTAATTCTTTTATCAAATGAAATTAGGGCTCAGCAGGTGCCCGTTCGTTTTACACAGAGCCAGTGACAATATAGGTCCCTGGCACAGCCAGATATTCTCTAAAAAATATTGTATGAACACATTACCTCGCGTTTTATATCAGAAGTTCAATTTTGGAGGATCACTCTCTGTATGTACCATCACCTCATGTATTCGGATTAATTATTGAGTGGTTATTGAGTATTGACAAAGACTTATTGTTAATATCACAAGCACCTAAAATGTTAAGGGAAAAATGCAAATAAAGTCATACTCATCCATAAAAAATTCTATAACAAGTACCCCAAGGTTAATTGAAGTCCACGTTAAGGAGGGATGATTATATATAATGTTGCACAGACCTGTATCGGGATCATCGTCTCAAGCCACGGTCCGGAGTCCGAATATATATCTCTCTCCTACCCGTGGCTGCTTGATCACAAAAAGTGTCGTAATCGTGAATATTTACACCTCTTTATTGTGACGTCATATTAGTCAGTGGCAAGTTTTGTTTCCATCGCAATCGAAATCAACAACTGGCGTCAACAGTATACAAGAAATATTTCCTACACTGCGATTGGATATTGAAAGGTCGCGATAAAGTTCATCATCCGACTATGCTTTACTCGCATTGGTCAATATTCTAATGAGCTACAAGGAATTCTTTTGTCCTTCAACCATGGTCAGATGGGAGAGGAGCGTACATTTTGGCCGTGGTTTGCGACGATGTATCAGGATAAGCTCTCACCAAAATATGTCCCATATATGTTTGTAAAACAGTGGATTCAATCTGACACGATTTTGGAGAATTCAAAAGGAGTTAACGTTACACTGAAAATCAATAACCCACTATTATTCTCAACAAATTTTATTTGCAGTTCTTAATTAACCTAAAAGATAGAAATCCATTCGTGACAATAAATATTCATGATTGAGTAGTAATTCTACATAAATACACAATATGAATAATGAGATTCTACAACAAACATTCCTGACTGAGTAAAAGGGAGTTAAAAAACTTGCTGCAATACAGTTTTTTTCTTTGCATGCATATGTTAATAAATATTGGTAATTCAGTACAATTCTTAGATTATTCTGTACATAATTAACATTAACTTGTCCCAAAATTTCAAGAGCATTGTTTCTAGTGAGCTTTTCTGGTCAAAAAGTGTCCAACATTACTATCTAATATAATATATGAGCTTTGTGTCTTCTACATGACGTATAAAACTTTACATCAATGCTGGCAGTGATTTTTCTACAATTTTAAAAAGGGGCCTGGGCCTTTTCAATTGGGAAAAATTGTCGACATTTGTGTCAAATTGGGAAAAACAGTAAGATTGTAATTAACCTTTATATTGACAAGTAAAATAAAATATAAAAGTAAATGTTGTATCATTTATTAAATTTATTTGCTGAAAAATTTTCAACAAAATGGACAACAGTTCTTCATTTTTCATTTTTTTTTTATTTTTTGTTCTTTGATTGTCCTATATCCCATTTTTTGCCATAATAGTAGACATAACTGAGAAAAAAATCATTCCCGATTTGTCGTTATTGCTCGCATTGGAGATGGAATAATCTTGACACGATTTACAAATAAATGTATTACTGTATAATTTCTCTGCAATGCTAGTATCTGCAGGATGAAGAAACGGTTTAATTTTCGTGAAATCAAGGAAGCTTGTTGTAGAACAACTAGTACTTGCAACTTACACATAAAGCTATATGTTTAACTGATTCACATGCATATTAAATTTCTTACGATGTATTGACACACAAGTTTGACATCCACATGATCGATGTGTTTTTCCAAGTCTTGCAAACACACAAATAAACTGCTGTTTTCGCCATTATTTGAAGCGTCCGAATGACCAAAAACAATAGCGTTCCATTTTAGATAAGTCGTACATAAAAAATTCAATATAACCAAAACAATACGTTTTGATTTTGGGAAAAAAGCAGTTGAAAATTGGGAAAATATCGGCAATTTTTGAGAGGGGAAAGGGCCGATATTCGGACCTAAATTGAGTGTAGAAAAATCACTGGCTGGTCACCCTTTGACCAGAAAGCTCACTACTTCTAATCACTGTATGGGCCATTTTTTAAAATTACATAATTATGTACTAAATAAATTTCCAACAAAGCAGTTTGTGCATCGTTTAGTGAAGGAATTTTGTTTAAATAAAGGGTCACATGTCACATTCATCTTCAGGGCTAGACAAATAGCATTGCCCGACACAAACACACAGTCATGATGTCGATCTCTTAATCGACATGCAGTAGTGTTCTGTTCACAGATTCCTGTTGTTTGTAAGGTTTTATTAGATTGATCACTGTCCAATATCTTTACCTTTTTCCATCAAATAAATGCAACATTAATTTTTTAAAAAGGTATTTCTTTTTGCAGAATTTTGAGGAAGAATACTCTTTAAAATTAAACATTTTTTTTTATCTGTGGAAGAATTTGGTGATTTTAGATCTCATGATGGTCTTTGTGTAGTGTTTAGGTGTCTCACTCAAGAAATAATTTAAATTGATTAATTAAATTAATTTAAATCAATGCTTCAATTCTTTGTAATTTAAGAAAACAGGTGGGACAAGCATATTTTTTGGTAAGACAAGTAGTTTTACAATGGTAACTTGTCTGAGGGAAAGTACTGCAAAATTCTATTTATTTACCCCCTGATCTTATAGATGAAAATTATTTTGTAGTAAAAAATTAGTAAAGACTTTAATTTTGACAAGTTTGTTTATAACACAGCTAGCCCTTTATAGGTTATAGGAAGGCAAAAATATGGGAACAAGTTAACTTAAATATAATTGGAATGATATAGTTCAGAGGAAGCTAATGTATAAGTTTTTTTTTTTCAGTTTTCTGTAGTTTATGTGTATATAAAGTTAACATTTTAATAAATCCTGGCTAAGCTTTGTGTACAAAGATCAGTTTGAAAAATTAACTTTAGTCACAAGTGGACATTGAGAGGATTATGAGTGGTTACAATTCCGCTTTATACTAACTTTACTATTAGTTAATTTGTCACATCCTACTGGGACAAGATCTAAATTATTTTTATCAGTTTAATTTCATAATTTAAGTTTGTGTCATGTGTTTTCAGGAAGGAATTTGGGAGTTCTTGCAGAGGAGGATTCTGAGGAAGAGGAAGTTGACGATGGACATAAAAAAGAGGTAACGCCTTCAACGCTTTATTGTGCATTAACAGGAAAACTTGTCTTATCTGGCCTGGCCCGGGACATTAAAATTAGATGAGCTCACTTTTGATCTCAGTCTCACTTTTACCAAAGGAATATACTAGTATAGTGGAAAAGTGAGACCGAGATTAAAAGTGAGCTCATCTAAGTTTTATGGCACCCAGGCCTGGTCTCCACTCAGGTCCCAATCTGAATGGGAAATCTACTTTTCAACTGTATTAAAAAACTGTAATATTCCAGTTTGCTTCAATTAAAAAGGGAAAGAAATGCAACTTTAAATAAATCAAAACAAAGGAATTGAACTAAATAAATAAAGAAATCATTGAAACCTTAGTAGACTGTATAGCAGCATGACTAACAGCACTACAGTTTTCTTAAGAAATAAAAGCTACAAGTACATTGTGGTTTACTTGGGATTTTCAGTCAACCAATATGAAAAATAAGGGTTTATAGTATACACTTATCCACTGGCTGTGAGTGGGATAGCTCTTTTATCAAACCCGCGACAGGAACAATTCCCCGAGGGCTTACCCTCGGGAAATAGTTCCTGTCGCGGGTTTGATAAAAGAGCTATCCCACTCACAGCCAGTGGATAAGCGTTTTATTATACTGATGTATATTATAATTTCTAAGTCTATTGATTTATCGCTGGAAATCAAAATTGGCGGGAAAAATTGCATGAAAATCTTCCGAGGATGGATAGCAAAAACTATACTATACCCCAATTAAGGTATAGCTTTCTATGCGTGGAAATTTTCAGACTATGAAAAAAAGTCATTTACCTTCTTAACTTTCAATAGGAAACATTTTAACAGAAGTATAATAATGTTTCACATACACATCTTATTCCGCCTTCATTTTGCTATCATTTTCAGATATATGTAATAATGATAACTATAAACCCAGTGGCAACAAAGGTAAAAAAACAGATACAAAGTGAAGTTTCTATCTCTCAAGGTTCAAAAGATATGGCGAAGATGAAAGTTGACAACAGACAGAAAGACAAACAGACAGATAGGACAAAAACAATATGCACCCCAGATCTAGATCTATCGATGTGGGTGCATATTAGCGGCATAAAAAATAAAACTGTTGTCATAAATGAGAGAAAAAAACTTTAGTTTTGAATTATTGTTTCCTTGTATAGTACATTTATTGATTATAAAAAAAGGATAAAAATAGTCAACATATACAATGTATACAGTATTCAGAATTGTACTTTGAATGAAAGACGTAAAGTCATTGAGAAAATTGCTCACATGTCTGGAAGTTGTGGTTATATGCACTCTCTTATCTGTGCAGAATCTGAGATCGTTTCCTGCTACGGTAACTGTAAACAGTCGCAGTCTCGTGACAATTATGCTCGTGATATATCACATGCCAAGGAAATTTTAATCACGTTTAATTTTGATGTATAAAAATATAACCAGAATTATAATTTAATTTTGATAGAGTCAACAAACATATAATTAAATTGAGGACATGCTGAATAAATGGGTACATATTAAATAATATTAATGCCCTAGATTATAGTTTTAAGAATCCCCTAACATTTTATCAGATATATTGCATGTAGACTTTTTCAGTCAAATGTTAATATAGTCAGGCTAGCTGACTTAATGAAAACAAAATTCAAACATTAAAATATCAAGACATTCTAAATGATTTTGACATTAATAATAAATTATAAATAAAAATATAATGAAATGTCTTCAGTTGGATTTCTTTATCAGACTTGGTCAAAGTTATGTTAATTAAAGTCTATATCCTTTGGAACCATTTGAAGAATAAATAGGCCACTAATAGCAGCATTCCTAGCAGCAGTATGTTGTATTGACAATGAACCCAATCACTTGCAGAGGTTCCAAATCCATCAGTTGAATTCATCTGCATCGATGTATTCATGAGCTGAATCAAAAATATTCAAAAAAATTTCCTTAAAATTGTTGCTGCCTGGGAACACAGCTAGAGTCAAACCTGTGCTTGAACTTTTGACCCCCTAGTGGAGACTTCTCTTTATTAAATACAAGGTGGTAAAAAATTCAAGCGAGTTTGGTGCCTTTGCATGCATATACATAAAATTTTATGTCACTCCATATGTTCTATTGCCCAGGGCCATTGGCATAGGGGGCATTTTTATTGAAACCATTTGAATTCATTGGGTTTAAATTTTCTTGGGTAAGAAAATTTTGTTGAATTTTGTTGCATTTGAAGAATTTGTTTGTAAGTGCAGTTCGGTTTTAAAAAACATACAATGAAAGGAATCCAACGACTCTCACCCTCTTCTACTATTCTACACATGATCTATAAATTTCAAATAAAAATCAAATAATAATAATGGTCGCCTATAACTAGGAGAGACAAGGACAAGTAATAAAGAAACTGACAAACCTGAAGACTAGCATTAGTGGTGGCTGTGAATAAACTGCCATCTGTCACTGGTGTGGTCAGTGGTAACCTGGACTGATTGGAAAAGAGGCTCAGTGTATCATTAACAATATCGTCAGCTAGCCCATGGAGGATCTTTATGCCTGACATGTTTTGAGAAATGGTCCTATAGAAGTGGAAAGAAATGAAATGAAAGATATACTGAATACAGGGAAATTTTCACCTCCATTTTATTTTCTCCCCTTTTGCCCTTAAATCACAGGTGGGCAAATTTTAAAACGGGGCAGATTCAAAGAACACAGTATGATTTCTTAAAAAGAACTGTGACTGGGCGAATTTAATACATGTAATGAGATTGGGTTGTACATTGTACATTAAATTTGTCTTGTGACTTCATTCATCAACCTTCCTAAATATAAAACAATCATGTACTCTGGTACTTATGATTAAAAAAAAATTGTTTTTACATTTGATATTTTGCCAATTGAAATATGATACACATGTAGTGAATGATATGGATGTACACTGTAACTCACTAGGCTTAATATGTCTGCTGAAAAAAGCTAAAAGGAAGTATTTTATTGGTAACGTCATGTTAATATTCAATTAGAACAATTAAGAACATTCTAGTCTAGATTGAATACTTAAATCTCTAAAATTTAATAGTGGATGTGTCTTGCAAGTTCAGCTAAGGACATTTTGATCCATTAACTTCATATTTAAAAATAACATAAACTTGTACATAAGAGGATTAAAATTATCTATAATTAGTGTATTAATAAATGTAACTTGGTAATTGATAGAAAATTAAGGTCAGCTGATGTGAAGAAATTCCCAATTGCAGTTTAAGTTTTAAAGCACATGCAGTATGTGCTAACAAATGGCTATTTAAACACTTTTAGAAAGAAAAAAAATTATTATTTTAATATACAAAAAAAAAATTAGATTGAATAAAAACTAAAACAGGTGGGTCACTTACCTTTAGTTGTAAAAATGACCAAATATTCTAGCTGGGGGTTAGTTTGGATGGAAGGTTGATTCCTCAATGTCTGATGAAAGCTGTGATTGTCTTCTAATGAGAAATATGACTGAGACCAGTATATGAAGTATAATGTACTGCATGTTTTATACAAGGAAATAAGTCTTTGTCTACAGCAACTGCGGAAAAATGTGTGGAAATGGGAATATCCTCAAAAGTGTATTCAATGTGAGTGCCACTTAAACTCCTTACCGGTCTTGCAGAAATCAGATATGCCTGTCACTGTGCCAGTGAAAGTCTTAAGCTGTATACTGACATTCTATAAGTAGATGAGGGGAAAGAGTATACTTTGAAGTCAGGAAAATAATCATGAAAACAATTTTTTAAATGCTCTACTGTTTAATTTTAAAGTAACTTCAAACTCAAGTACAATTCTTATAATATATTTTATTTTTTTTTCACTTAAAATGTAGTTGTTCTTTTATCCTTTATGATGTAATTACATTTATATATTTATAAAGAAATAATGTCCTTTATTTAGCTAATTAAATTATTTTTCACTCATACATTGGGTCCACCTTGAGTTTGAACATTGGAAATTAAATATTAATTTGTAAAATATTTTTTGCTTTAATTTACTTTAAGTGTTTGTCACATGTATATGCAAATTTTCACTGATCAGAAAGACATTCACTAGAAAAAGAAATATAGACAATATATTGTCTCAATAATTTCTGAGCAGCCCTCGTATACCGTATACGTGTATACACACATGTACTGTATTATACTTGTTGGTTATTTTATCCAGGGAAGTTCAGATGAGTCTGAGAGTGATGACGATGATGAGCCCGATCCTTCATCCCGACGCGAGCCCAATAAGTTTGACAACCTGTGTGATGGCGTCACCAACACCATGGCCTACGTACATGGAGCTATGCAAGAGGTAAATTGGGAAATAAATATTCATTTTGTTTGAATATCTTAAGAAAGAAAAATTTTAAAAAGTTGAAAACTGTTAAACTGCTATTGTATAACAGATTGCGATTTTGTTGTTGACAAGGGTTATTTGACAGATTTATATAGAAATGACAGAGATAGAAATAAATTTCCCTTGATTTTAAAGGAGAACTGAAAAAACTGAGAATACCAAAAAAAGAAGGAGTATTAGTATTTCTAAAAAAATGCATCTCTGCATGGTTGCCTTACATGTACATTGTATTTCTGTTGTAGCTTCTGAATATGAAGGATGAGATGTTGAAACATGCTCTGCCTCCAACACTGCTGATAAAACTGGCAACCGTCACAGGCAAAGTCTTCAGAAGGTACTTCATTAGACCTGAAATTATGGTACCTTAATGCACATTTTTTTTTAAAATTATACATTTAATTCACATGATATGCTTGCATATGAAGAAATTTGTTATAAATATAGGCCACTTTTCTCATATATGTTTTTCAAGAACTTTTTTCCCAAATTTTTTGGTTGGTAATTTGGTTAAAAAAAATAATTACAAACATTTTTAATTACCCCCTTTCCTTTAAAATTTGAAAATTGCAAACCTGTATGTAGTATTTTCAGAAGTCATTACATGTATAAAACCAATTTTTTAACATCTCTTCATAGGATGAAGCTGAATTATAAGCCAGATGTAAACTCTTTAGCCTCCACCTCTCCCCCTAAAAATACTTTATAGAATATTCCTCCCCCCACCCCCACACCCCCCCCCCCCAAAAAAAATGGCCAAAGTTATTTTTACTAAAGTGTATTAAGGAGGAACAAGTAATTCCAGTAATTCATCACTTGGACTTGCCCTTGATATTTCCTATGTTATATTCTGCACTCATCAAGATTTTTTTTCTTCATGAAACAATTTTTAATGGGACCATCATCACTTAGGAATTGCCCTTACCCAATTTTTAACATAATTTTTTTTGCAGTTATCGAGGACTGCATTGATTTTCATTTTAAATAAACCAATTTTAGTGGTTTATTATACCCCCTGCTTGAAAAGCAGGAGGGTCCCGGTATATAGTAATATTTCCCACACTATAATCTGCACTCATCAAGATTTTTTTCATTATCAGGAATAAAAATGTACTAATAGGACTGATTTTAATTTTAAATAAACCAATTTAAGTGGTTTATTTAATCTCACTGTCAAATGAAGGACATTTATAAATTGAATGTTAATTTAATTAATTTCAGTGTGAGTGACCTAAATATGCCTGTTAATGAACTGGTCAGACTAGTGCGAGTGTACTCAACACCCTGGGAAGAAAAGAGTGCGGCACTGAAGAAATTACATGAAGATTATGAAAATAAACAAAGACAGCTGAATATTGCTGTAAAAAGGCTGCAGCTTGTTGATGCACATGTAAGTTTATAATGTAAAAATATGAAAAGATTTTGTTCTTGAGGTGGGAATGTGTTTTTTGATATTTTATTACTGAATTGTTTTTGTGTGACATCTTGACCAATGAGTCTGTATCCAATCTATTGAATACAGATAAATTTGAAAGAAAAAAAGTCCATTGAATCTTCATTGTATGCATGATAGAAATTACATTATGATATTGATTTAATTGATTTAAAAGCCCCCCCCCCCCCCCCAAAAAAAAAAAAAAAAACACTAAGGATCTATTTCACAGTTATTTATCATCTTAAAAACATTCAGCCAATTTAATACATTTTGTCATTTCTAACATGTCTAAAGAGAATAATATTTCTTTTAAGTCAAAGAGAATAGCCCGAGAGAAGCGAATTATGAACTGGGAAAAGTTGTTTGCCAAAATAATGAGCAACAAGGGTCATGGCAGAAGATGGAAGTTCCTAATTGAGACTATTAAACAAAAAGCAAAACTGGGGTATGTTGAGGATAAGTTTTTGTCATATACCTTATAAGCAGAATTTCTAGAGAGGATTTAATTTTGGCATTATTAGCGAGGATGCTGAGATTGCTAAAATTAAATATTTCTAAAAATCAATTGCATTTTATTTGCGATTACAGCTTCTTTAGTGAGCATTTAAAAATAGCTAAAATTGTTTTTCATTAAAAATAAGTACTATTTTGTAGAGAGAAATAGGTTCCTTTGCATTTAGAAAAATTTCCACTTGTACTGTATTAGCATATAATCTCAGAGTTTTTTTTTTCACACAAAAGCAACATTTAAATTAAATTAATTAAGAGAAAGCATCAAGTAGTGATTGTAGGATGCAGAAATCGTGTATCAGCTCTATCACATATAAGTTATAATTATGTGCAATTGAAAATCCTAAAATTCTGTATCACATTTTAAAAGTGTACAAGTAAATTGTTATCTTGAAAATTTCTTTTGACAATAGACAGGCAATGAAGATTTTAAAAGTGTATAACCATCGAAAATGATAAATCTGAAGTAGGAAATAAATAATTTACTTCTCGGAGATCATTTATATTTTGGAGTAGATCATGACTGTGTCTATTTTGATGACGTACGGTGTTAGATAGTTCCCATCACTTTTATTTTTAAAATATGCAATAAGCACTTAGTAAATGGGAGTAAAGAGGACAATGGATTTAGATGCACAAAACGTGTGTAAAATAGTTATAATTTACTAAAAATACTTTATATTTTGATAAGTGTTTAATTCTATCTGATATGGAACTTAAGGAAAACATCCGCAAATCTGATGAAAAACTTCCATATCATTGCATTATTTAGAGATTGGGGGCTGGTATCATAATCAAGGCAATGGGAAGTTGGTGGGGGGGCTTGACAATGTTCATATTTTTGGGGGTAAGATATACCATTTCCCTGGCATTGATTGTCAGTTCAAGTAAAAATGAAAAGTATATCATGAAAGTACATGTAACTTATGGATATGTCTTTGACTATTTCTTAAATCAATTTTTTGCACTAAGCCTTATAGTAAGTAGATGCATAAATATGTATGTACAATACGTATTAGTTCGAAGGGGTTTGACACCAAACTGATTTTATCAACTTGAAGCTTGTTATACTGGCAGTGATAATGCCACTTACATATATACAGATATTTAGACTATTTGTAAAATTAAAACTTTTATATTCAAAGTATATCTATGTTTACAGTCTTGAGCATGTACAAGAGTACACGAGAGCTCTAGAGGAGAGTTCTGATGAGGAGGAAGATGAGGAAGATGACATGCCGATGACAATCAAACGACCGGGAGAGGACAGCGACAAATTATCTGTAAGATTTTTCTCAAGCATGCAAGACTGCACAATCTTTATTGGTTCAAGGGTCATTTTTCCTTTGCCGTGTTGAGTAGATTATTTAAAAAATCTTTTATAAAAAGTGGTAAAAAATACCATTTTAAGATGGATTGTATGTGTATACAATATTATAAAAGCATCT